GAAGAATATGGAAGATTTACTGCTGAGTGAAGTAAGCCAGGCTATGAAGGAGAAACATTGTTATGTCCCTACTTAAAATATGCCGAGTGTCCACACTCTTATGACTGAAACTGATTGACTAAAGGATATAGAAACACAGAAAATGGATGTGAAAACCAGATATAGTGTGTGAAATAGTAAAGTCTGAGGAAGGACATTTAGAAAAACAACTAGAAAGGCAAAGCATTAATGGGACAGAAAAATGTGGTATTACCTGTTGAAGATAATTTTATAGTTTTATCAACTGGACTAGGGAGATATGTTCACATGTTGAAATATTCACTTTATAAGCTAAGTAATGGGATTGAATGTATACAGGAAAATGAAATAAAAAATATTTTTAAAAATTCTTTTATTTAACTTTGTTATTATTATTTTCTTTTTTTAATTTGACCAGGGAGAGAGAGAAAGAGAGAAAGCATGAAAGCAAGCTACAAGGTCCAGGACTTGAACCAAAGTTGGCCATGGGAGAGTCCAGCACCCAAACCACCATGCCACTTGCCAGTCCCCAACCTGTACCTCAGGTACCATGTTAAATACAATGGGGATAGCTGTCTTCCTTGTCTTGCTCCTGACTTTGGCGGGAATGATTCAAATGTAAAGAAGATCATTCTTGCCATAAAAAATTTCTTTTAAATAATAAACTTTATTCTGTGATAAAATTCCTTTGGTTCATTTAAAACATGATTTCACTCATAAAGAACATTATATACCCAAATATCTTCAGGCCCAACCACAGAGAGGAAATCCTAAGCTCTACTAACCCTTCATGTTTGAAGTTATTGAGATATTGACTTACTGATAGTTCCTGGGTGAGCTGTCGAATCTTCTGTCTCATTTCATCATAATCTCCATACATTCGTTTCCTGACTTTTTCCAAAGTGGCTCTCACCTGCAGCATATAATGTTAGTTAGATATCAAGCTATAACATTTAATGTTAGATATCAAGCTATAACATTTTCATGTGAGACTTACAAAACTTTGAAGAGACCATAATGAGGACCCTCTCCCCCCAGTACATACACAAATCTTAAGAACAGGACATTGAGGACGTTAGAGGAGAAAATCACCCATGACATCTATCAGTAGTAAGAAACCAAGGGAATTATGAAAAAATAAAAAATTTACATATTCATAGGATTATATAAAGCCATAACTCTTAGTAAGTATTAATTATCCAAATGATAAACTCTGATTAAAAAAAAAAACATTTGTTTGAAATTCACCTATGACCCTCAAACCACATTTGGGCAAGGTTTGCTTCTCTTCACATCACACAATTTTATAAGCAGAAAATTTCTGGGGTGTTGACTCTGCAAACACATGGCTAAGAGAACTAAAAACCAAAAAGCAAGAAGGACCTGTCTTACTGAATCTCTGCTCTGACCACAGAAGAGCAATTAGATGTCTATAGCATAAGGCAGCAAAATGAGCCTGGAGAGTCCATAAATGTGAAGATAAGGTCCTTGATAATTATCAGCAGTACACAAGGCATTAAGCATAATGCAAGCTACGGTGATCTCCAAGCACTTGTGCGTGAGTGCAGGTGTGCGTGTGTGCACGCGCACACACACACACACAGTTCAAGTTCCTCTGCAGTACCATTGTCAAAAGAGTTAATGGGCCTTCACAATCTTAAAAACAAAACAAAAATCCCTACAAAGAGCCCTGTCACCTTCCTCCTCCTGGTGGCCCTAGGATGGACAAAGTGCTTAGGAATCCTCAAAGAGGACAGGACATTTCAAGGAAGTTTTCTCTTGTACGTTCCAGAATTTCTACTTTACGAAAGGTTTAAAGGTAGCAGTCTGGTAAGAATGTAAGTATTTAGGGGACAATATTGGCAGTGTTAATTTGCATAGCAAGCACACTGTTTTAAATGAGACTGTATTTATTAGGGATGACAGGTTATTGGTAGAGATTGTGGAAGGCAATAAGGGTCGAGACTCCAAGCCTTTCCCAGATGAATTCTAATAACAGTATCTACTTTCCTTTTTTTGGAGAGGTTTTTGCTCTAGAGCACGCACGTTCGCCAGAAAAACAGAGAGAGTAAGAGAAACAGGAAACAAGAAATCACCCCCCAGGGAGGATGGCCATGCCACAATCCCTTCTCCTCCATTCTCCTCTCAGGATCTTGGTCACGCATGCACACACACATGCCTGGCATGAGTTTAAGCCGCCAGGTCCCGCACTTGAACCACAGTCAACTACATGAGAGTCCAGCAACATAGCCATTACGCTAACTGCTGGTCCCCAGTATTTACTTTCTTGCTTTTAAACTACAAACATGCTGGGGAAATGAGGCCAAAAGCATGGCTTTCCATTCTAGGCAGGCGAATGGCTCTCATTTGTGGCCCTGCCTGCTCAGCAGCAGTGAGTGGGCGGAATCTTGCACTGGCAAACACAGCAGGAAGCCATGGAGGCCAGAGAGTCATTGACAAGAGAGAGCAGGTAAACACATCTATAAACACTCTTAGGGAGGACCCAGGGCTGGATTTGAAGCCAGCTCCAAAGGGTGGAGCCTGGAAATTGATTTTAAGTTGCAGAGCACAGTGGAGGTTGGTCATTCTAGGCTAGCACCAGCCCTGTGGTTTGAGTACGCGTCATCTATGGCTCAAGATCAGCCTGAACCTGCTGTATTTAGCTTGGACAATTTGTGACTCTGGACTCTGCTCAGAAGGTTTACTTCTAAAGCAATGCCACACCACTAGGAACATTTAAATGAGGACGATCTACGTATTTCCTTAAGGGAAACAGGAAATTTAGAATGTCCAAGCTGCTCTTAAAAGGAAAATCAAAAATGAAATACTCTGACTAAAAACTTCTCTTTGAGAAATGGAGATTTGAGGCTAATGGTTGTTATACACAGGAAACGTGTGTGCATGTGTGCACATGGGCATAGCTTTACTGACTTTTCCTGATACCGTCTGCTCAGCACTTCATAAGAAATGTTGTTCTTAAAAAATCATACAAAAGCTAAGACAATGTGGTTTCACATCTTATCCACAAATCCACCCAATAAAGAGATGTACACAGTTAGAGGTTTTGACCTTAGGAGCCAGAGCCCAGACCCCGCAATCTGTACAGGAGAAAATTAGAGCGTGGAGAGGGTAACAGTGACAGGCCAGGCCAAGCACAGAGCTGGACCTTGAACCAGGTATAGGCTGAGTGCCTTCTCCTGCCCCATGCTGACTCTGTCCCAGACCCAGTGACTTGAAAATCATGCCAAGCAGGTGTGCAGGGAGGAGAAGGGATTGTGGTGTGGCCATGCCCCTAGGGAATGATTTCTCAATTTTCCTCTTACTATCTCTGTCTGTCTCTCTCTCCAGTGAGCACACATGCCCTAAGGCAAAAACCTTTTTAAAAAGATAAGAAATACAATATTAAATATGAGACATCTTTTAAAAGTTCATGGAAAATGCATAAAAATTTTTTGCACCCAAATAAACTTGTACTTCAATTCTATTTTTTTAATAAACTTTTTGAAGTCCCCTCCTACAGTCTTAAGTCATATAATAACATTGTGGTCAATGATGGACCATATATACAACAATGGTCCCATAAGGAGGTTATAGGTTATACCATATAGCATGGGTGTGTAGTATGCTCTACTCTCAAAATTCATGTAACTAACTATGATGTTCACACAATGAAATTGCCTAACGATGCATTTCTCAGACCATTTCCATGTTGTTAAGCAATGTATGACTCTATAAGAAAAAAGACATTAATTGGTTTGGTTGGAGAATGTCTATTGTCATTGACATCCCAGCACTCATTTCAACCCAACTAATTGATCTGAACCCACAAGTCTTCCTACTCCCTTTGCTAGTAATGGGTTTGGGACTAGAGATATGACCCAGTCTTAGCCAATAAGACATAAGGAGAAATCTAATGGGTAGGGGAGTCCTCTAAAAGAAGTAACCAGAGATGGATGGACTTTTTTTCTTCCAGAAACTGATTTTTCAAATGATACCACAAACCTGAGGCTAAAGGAAGAAAAAGCCAATGGAAACACAGAGGAGTAGGATGAAAGCCTGAGCGTGCCCTACCTGAAGTCCACCTATTTCTAGACTCATCCCCACGTAAGATAAATTTCCCTTCTGAGTTGGCTTTTCTCTTACTTGCAGCCAAAAGCATCCAAATTCATACAGTTGTATATGTGTCCAGTATTGTAAAAAAAAAAAAAAACAATTAGAGCCTCTATGCCATACACAGAAGAAGGAAACTATCTGGTCCTCTTAGTAACATCCATCCCACAAAAGTTTAACCTACCCCTCCTTGTAGAACCACATCTGTACTTTTAGCATTACCATGAAGATACATAGAAACATCAGCATTCAACATCCAGGACTATCAATTCTTATTATAAATACATCAGTGCTTCCAACTCTATCCTGGTACATGCTACAAAAATATTACCGGGGCGGGGGGGAAACCTTTAAATGGCTTACGTCTTTGATGTAGTTCATCTCTTCTTTCAGCTGACTGGTGGACCACCCATACACCACCATTTCTTTCTGCTGATTTTGATCTGATCTTCGCACCACACCATAAACAACACCCTGGGGGAGTTTCCTGGTAGGTTCTCCATTGCTTAGGTCAGGATGCTAAAAGAAAGTAGAAAAAAGACAAAAAGATTAATGACTCTCAAGGCCTTATGAGAACACCTTGAATAACAGGCCCGCCATGCATAATCGTGCAGACTGTGCCACCACTTGGTTGCCAGGGGACAGAGCAGAAACCCAACCTGGTCTCTGCCCACCGTGCCGTACCTGGCATAGACTGGGTCTGCCTTTATCCTGGGGGAAGACTACCTTTCTCTAACCTGTTTTTTTCTTTATTATACTTTCTTTTTTTAGAGGTTTTTGCTATAGGATGTGTGCACTCAATGGAGAGAGCAAAAGAGAGACAGTGAGAGGTAAAGCAAGATCTCACACACACACACACACACACACTGCCAGAGAGGACAGCCACAATCCCTTCTTCCCCTGGGATCTTGGGCATGCAGACACATATGCCTAGGGTGATTTTTTAAGCCACCAGGTCCAGCACTAGAACCACAGTTAGCCTTGCGGGAGTCCAGTGATGTAACCACTATGCTACCAGCTAGCCCTCTCTTTACTATAATTTTTGATTTATATATGATTATTATAAATCTTTGTGGAGTATAGTATGGCTCTTCAAAGTATGTACATAGTGTGTGATAATCAAATGAAGGATTTAGATAAAATTATCATCTGTAACAATAAATATTACATTGTGTTGTGCACATTCAACATTCCCTTCTATAATTCCTATCAAGGTCCTGTCTCTCACCTCACAGTACACTTACATGGCCCCATCATCCCATGTGGTGCCCCTAATTCTCGTAAAGGTTTGAGAAAGACTTGGTTGTCCCTGATTTTTTTTTTTTTTTTTTGGGGAGGTTTTTGCTATAGGGCGCGTGCGCTCGCCAGACAGAGAGAGAGAGACATAGAGACAGAAAGCGAGAAATCACCCCCCAGGGGGGATGGTCATGCCGCAATCCCTTCTCCTCCATTCTCCTCTTGGGATCTTGGGCACGCACACACATGAGCCCGGCGTGAGTTTTAAGCCACCGGGTCCGGGACACAAACCGCAGTCGACTACGTGGGAGTCCAGCGACATAGCCATTACGCTAACTGCTGGTTCCCGGTTGTCCCCAATTTTAAAAAGTGCCCATAACCTTATGCTTAGTGATGCTAAGTGACACCCTTATACCAGTTCCTCCACATGACTCCAACCTCATCACTAAATAACTGGCCTGAAATGCTGAGGTGTGTGGGGACAGAATGCCAACCACTGTGTGGCAGCAGAATTGTCCTCTGAGGGTAGGGCTGACTTTGAGACCAAGTTTTGAAAAAAGGGAGGTGGGTTCTATACAAAACCTGTTGTGACCACCCATGAAATATTTCTGAAAGACCAGGAGAGTCAGTGTGACTTCCATCTAGAAGAATCTTCCTACTACTGCTTAATTCCTTCAGTTCAAGCTTTGATCATTGTTGAAATGCAAATCCCCTTGAGAAAGGGTAATAAGTCTGTCTTAACACACCTTTATAGAATAAAGGCTCAGGAAGCAGGAAAATGGGAGCTGAAGATGTGTTAAGCACCTACGATATGCTTGAAATACTCCTTACCAATTCAATGTTGACAACCATTTTGTGACACAGCAATTGTCCTCTCCACTTCACAGCTAAGAAAACCCCAGTTCAGCTTTAGTATCTTTCTATAGTCACACATCTAGATTCAAGCCTGATTCTGTGGTTCTGTTTGACATTTAATACAGCTCCCCATACTGCTGGCTAAGTTATAATAGGGCCCTCCACAATGGGAAAGAGACAGAGGTAAGGAGAACACCAAGACTGAGGTCTGAGGTTTCATGGACAAACTGGCCTGTTGCCAGTTTTCACTGGGGCTGACTCCAGTACCTTGGCAATGCTACAGTATAGAAGCCTGAATTCCACAATGGCAACTCTGTTCTCCTAGTAACTTTTCAACTACCTTTGCATAGATCCTTTTCATACATTCACACAAAATAAATATTAATAAATAAATAAATAAATTTTTAAAAATAAACATATTTATTTCTTCCATGGGTGAGATACAGAGAAAAGGAGATGTATTCCCAACAGGGCCTGGTCATGTCATTATCCTTTTTCCTTCATTTTCTACCCCAACAGGTTTCTGACCTCATACACACATGTGCCTGGTGTCTGGCCAGTGAGGCAGGAATTCAAACCACGGTTGGTCATGGTCCCATTCCTCTTACAACTCTTAATTGCTGCACTGTGAGGCCAGCCCCACAAAATATTTTTTTAACATTCAAAACTGTATTCTACACTTTAAAATCATTCAGTGTGGCAGAACAATAAGTATTACATGATCCCATTCATTGAAAATTTTGCAAAAATGAAAGAAAAGCCTAGGAAGATATGTAGTGAGTTATTAATAGAGGCCTCTAAGAAGGCAACAGTTGGAGGGGTCAGGGGTGCTGGAGGTCATAGAGATCTTTTCTTATGTACTTTTGTATTGATTATTTGATTTGTTTTTGTTTTATTTTTACAACACATACTTCTTTAAAAGGCAAGAAAACAAAACATCCACTGCTTTCCACCCTTCTGTAGGTACTTGGGAAAAGACCAGTAACAGGGGCACTTTGCATTTGCTTCTAGCAAATGCTCCCTGAGCCCTCATCCCGTGTCCCACAGCACTAATACCACCCTGAATTTTTGGTCTAAGTTCAGGTGACCGAGTTACAAAATGGTTCTCAGTGGAGCGACAAGCTCGCATTATGTTCTCCCTGATGCACTAGACACAGAAATAGGAAGAGGAAAAGCGCTAATGAAACTCCCACAGACCAGGAAACAAAAGCTTGTTCTTTCAGTCAGAGTCTCCACCCAGTTCCTGAAAAACAAGCCGATGAGGTCGAGGACGTAAGACCTCACTGACGTGCATTTCTACAAAGCAAAGGCTCTCAGAGGTACACTGGCTTACTGGAAAACTAGGGGGCTGGATACTGAGGGTCTGCCTCCCATCCATGGGGTGAGATAAGGACTGCCAACCACCCAGGGAGGAAAATACAAACAATGCCAAGGACGAGGTCTGTGGAAAACTGCCCAAGAGGCCCTGGACCTAACAGTTGTGCACAATGAAAGATATTTAAGATACAGTAAATGAAAAATGGTAAATCTCATGTTCCTATTTTTTGTTTTATGAATTGTGTGTTTGACTGGTCCCATGGCCCAGTGGTGAAAGGAGCCAGATCCCATATACTGACCACAGCTCAATCCCTTACCCTGGCAACTTGATAAACATGCCAGGCACGTGTGTGTGTATGCCCAGAATCCTGACAGATGGAGAAATGCAAAAGAGACTGCAGCATAATCACATCCCATTGAGGGGGATTGCTTTCTCTCTCTCCCTCTCTCTGTCTCTCTCTAGGGAGCACATGCATCCTCTGGTAACAACAACAACAACAAAATAGGATTGTGTGTGTGTGTGTTTAAAGCATCTAAAAAGATAGAATCCAGGGACCAGCAGTTAGTGTAATGGCTATGTTGCTGGACTCCCACGTAGTCGACCACAGTTCACGTCCCGGACCCGGTGGCTTAAAACTCACGCCGGGCACATGTGCGTGCGTGCCCAAGATCCTGAGAGGAGAATGGAGGAGAATGGAGGAGAAGGGATTGCAGCATGGCCATCCCCCCTGGGGGGTGATTTCTCACTTTGTGTCTCTCTGTCTCTGTCGGGTGAGCGCATGCACCCTATAGCAAAAACCTCTCCAAAAAAAAAAAAAAAAGATAGAATTGAAATCTTGGCCAACCTTTTCCTGAATTATATGGGACTTAAACTTTTCCTTTATGCTATTTCGTACTCTGAAATTTCCCCCACTTCGGCAAAATTAAGTAAATAAAGCGTTAGTTTTGAATTGGTACATTTCATTTCAATTTTCAAAAAAGAAAAGCTAAAATTAAAAATTATGAAAATGTTAAGGTCTAGGGGGCTGGTGGGTGATGTGGTGGTTGAGGCACTGGCCAACCATGTTTCGAGTCCCAGACCTGGTGGCTTGCTTTCTCACTTTCCCACTCTCTGTCTCTCTGTCCCTTTCTCTCTCTGTGTCTTTCTGGTCAAATTTTAAAATAATGATAAATAAAATTAAATTTTAAAAATGTCCAGGAAGGTCTAAGTAAAAGAATTTTAGAGAAGGACCCAGCCCCGAGACTCCGCTAAGAAGCAGAGTCTTCAGCCTGGGCTACTTTATAAACAGAAGATTCTTGGGGTAGCTTAGGAAGAGAGAAGCAGGAGAGGCTTATGAAGAAACAGAAGGGGGAAAATATTTGTTATCTAGCAATTTTATTACCTAATATTTTCTTCAGTCTTCACAATATCCCTCCTATGTAAGTGTTACAAGTTCTTCCTAGGGTGTAGCATTCCAGGGCCTGTCCGCTAAGCTCTTTCCATGGCTACATGGTCTCCAAAATATTTAAGTCAGGAAAGGAACTGGAAACTACATCCCCATGTGGCAACCCAGAGTCACAAGGGGCTGGGAGGCCGAGGGAACGACCTGCAGATCCTAGGGCCACTTGGAAAAACAGACCCAGAATGGTAGGTAGGTGGGGAGGGCTCTTCACTGCCCCAGCCCACCCCCAACCCCTCCAGCCTCACTACCTCCCTTCCATTCATTTATTGGCCAACCTCCTTTTTGCCTCAGGGTATTTATACCTATTTCTTCTCCCTATACCGCTGGACTGAAATAACCCTCTCCCAAGAACACCTTCCCTGACCTTTCAGATGGTCAGGTGTCCTCTTATCTAGTCTCTCAGCACTCCTCACCAGACTCACCGCAATAACTGCTAGTAACAGAAACCCCAAACAGCGACTGTCAGTGTCTTTACACATGCGAGATCTGCCTCCCTCTCAGCGAGAGGTGCCATGATGTCTAGGGCCTTGTTTGTCTCCTTTTCCACCATAATCCCCAGCATCCAACAGTGATGGACACACAGTGAGCGTCTCCATAAATACTTCCTGAATAAATAGGGAGCTTTAGATGGAAGCGGTGCTGGGGAATTACCCAGAGCACATACATAAA